ATATAAAACAATAACAGTAAAGTCTTATGGGTCCTAAATATCTGAAATTAAAATGCATGATAACAATAATATAAAAAGCAGGAAAAATATAAAGGGAGTTAAAGTATAAGTTTCTAGCATTGTCAGGGAAATGGTTAAAGTACTAATTTATATTAGACTTTAATAATAGATGTTGTGGGCTTCCCTGGTGGCGCAGTGGTTGAGAGTCCGCCTGCCGATGCAGGGGACGCGGGTTCGTGCCCCGGTCCGGGAGGATCCCACATGCCATGCAGCGGCTGGGCCCGTGACCCATGTCCGCTGAGCCTGGGTGTCCGGAGCCTGTGCAATGGGAGAGGCCACAACAGTGAGAGGTCCGCGTACCGCAAAAAAAAAAAAAAAAAAAAAAAGTTGTAATATCTAGAGTAACCACCAAAAGAATAATAAAGGAATATATTACTGACAACCTAATAAAGAGTATGTGTAGAACACTAAAAATTATAAATTTAAAAGGATCTAAAAGTTCAGAGTAAAAGTAATGTAAAATATATAGAAATTTAGAAAAATAATAAAATGGTAAATTTAATCCAAATATGTTAGTAATTACATTAGAAGTCAGTGATATAATACCATGGTTTAAAGATGTTAGAATGTTTAAAATAACACATACGGATAAAGATACATGGATATAGTTTCTCAAATATGTGAATACAAAAAGCCTAAAGTTTAGAAAATGAAATGTCAGGCAAACACAAACCAAAAGAAAACTTATATAGCTACTAATAATCACAAAACCTCAACTTCTTGCAGGACATTTGGTCCTGTCTAAAATGTCCATGAGCATATTTGGTCCATGCCAAACAGTTTTGGACAAGACTAAATATCTGGGACCTTTTGGCATGGACCAGATGTCTTATGGACCAGATGTCTAATGGAGGTTCTGGACAGGACCAAATATCAAGGATTTTTTGGCATGGACAAAATGTCTTAGGCATGTTTTAGACAGGACCATATTTGCTAACACCTCAACTTTAATGAAAGAAAAGTAGCTGGATCTAAAGAGGAACATTTTGTAATAACAAAGTATTAATCTTTGGAAGATGTGGCAATTCTGAACTTGTATGCCACTTATAATAGGGCTTCAAAGTATATAAAACAAAAATTGCAGTCATAAAAGGAAAAACATAAAATTAGAATTTACTCTGCCTCTCTCACTAACTGATATATAACAAACATATAAAAAATTTCTAAGGATATAAAGATATGAGAAACATGGTTAATGGACTTGAACTAATTAAATATACATTTGTAGATATTTGAAATATATACATATAAATAATTTATATGTGCATATATACATACAGAAAATATAGCACCTGACAATTGTAGATCACACTTTATTTTCCAGTAGATATAGATTTTTTTTTAAATCAAAATTGACCGTGTGCTGGAATATAAAGCAAGACTTAACAGATTTTGAAGAACTGAAGTCATGAAGAGCATATTCTCTGTCCACAGTGGAATTAATCTAGCATTTCATAATAACAAGATGATGGGAAGTTCCTAAAATGTTTGGGCAACCCCCAGAATATACCTCAAAATAACCCAAACAAAAATATTAATTTAGATTAGGAGACATTTTGAATCAAATGATAATTAAATCATAACATCGCAAAACCTGTGGGATGTAGCTAATACTTTATTTTTAGGAAAATGTATAGCCTTAAATGAACATATTAGTGTGATACACTCTCTCCAAGAAGGTTGCCATCAATTTCTTTCTTTGAGACCACCAGGCAGTGAGAAAGTCAAAGTTAGGCACGTGGAGATAAAGGGAGATGCCCGACAAGCCTCTCAGATATTCCAACCATCTCAGCCCAAATCCCAACATGTGAATGAAAAAGTCTGCATGCAAGTGTGACTCAAGCTGCCACCTGACTGCTCCCATATGTGAAAACCCAAATAAGGACCACCCAGCTGAGCCCTTCAATCCCCAGAAATGTGAAAGATAACAGTAAATTGCCTCTTTAAGCCACTTATTTGGGGGGTGGTTTGTTATACATTTATAGATAACCAGAAATATCTTTAAAGAATAAAGTCAAAAGATTAATTAAATTTCATTCTCAAGAACTTAGAAGCAGAGCAATGAAAGAAATCTATAGAGCCAAAAGTTTGTTCTTGGAGAAGATGAAGGTGATAGATAGATGACAGATACATAGATAGATAGATAGATAGATAGACAGGTAGGTAGATAGGTAGATAGATAGATAGATAGATAGATTGTAGGTAGATAGATAGATACCGAATCTGATCAAGAAAAAAAGAGAAGGCACACATTATTTATTTCAGGAATAGGAAAAGGAACCTTGCTACAAATTGAACAGACATTAAAAATATAGGATGAGAACATTGTGAACAACTTAACAGAAATACATTTGAACATTCATATGAAAAGGACAAATTCCTCCAAACATATAATTTATCTAACATGTTTAAATGAAAATATGAATGTTCTTATTTATTAAAGAAGTGGAATCTGTAATTAAAAGTCTACACACACATACACACGCACACACACATACAATATCCCAGGCCTAGATGGTATCATAAATGAATTCTTTCAAAAATCTAAGTAAGAAAGACAAAAGTCTCAGATTCTTCAGACAATAGAAAAAGAGGAAAAACATCCTCATTTGTTTAATCTACCCAGTATGACCTGGATGCCAAAACCTAACAAGAATATTACAGGAAAGAAAAAGTGCAGAAAATCTCTTTCATGAATATAGTCACAAAAATCCTAACAAAATATTAGCGAACTGAATCCAGGAATATATAAAAGGGTAGTGTATCATTTCCAGGTTCATTTCAGGGAGGCAAAAAATCAATGTTATTCATCATATTAACAGAATTAACTAGGAAAACCATATAATTGTCCTTCTAGATTCAGAAAAAGCAGTAAATAAAACGTAACACCTATTTATGATATAAATACTTAAGAAACTAGAAGTAGACTTTTTTAATCTGATAAAACTAATCTATTAAAAAAAATCCCTACAGTACATATCATGCCTACAGTGAAATGTTAAAAACTATCCTTTTGAATTCAGAAGTGAGACAAGGATAATCATTGCCACCATTTCTATTTAGCATTCTACTTGACCCGCTAGTAAAAGAATCAGTATTTTAAGAATTGGACAAATGGGCAAAATATTTGAACAAGCATGTCAACAAGATGTTATCCAAATGGCCAATAACATGAAAAAGGTGTTTAACCTAATTAATCATCAGGAAAATGCAAATTAAAGTCATAATGTGATACTCTTATACACTCCCCAGAAGAACTAAAATGAAAAACAAAACAAAACAGAATATCCCAAACATTGGCAAGGATGAGTAGCATCTGGTCTCTAATACACCACTGGTGAGAGTGTAAATTAGAATAACCTCTTTAGAAGACTATTTCGCTGTAGCTACTAAAGCAGAACATATCATACCTTTTGATATAGCAATTTCAGTCCTAGATATATTACCCCCAAAAATGTATATGTACATTCATTGAAGGCATGTATAAGAATGTTCATAGCAACACTCTTTACAATAACCAAAAATAAGAAAATAGGTAAATTCCCATCAGCAGTGAAATGGATAAATAAAAAGTGTGGTATATTCATAGATTTGAGTAATATACAGGAATAGGAATGAGCAAAGTCCGAGTACAGTCTCATAATCTCATAAGCAGAATGCTGGACAAAAGAAGACAGACACGAAAAACACACAGTATGATTCTACTTCTATATAGTTCCAAAAGACAAAACTAACCTATAGTGTTAAAGATGAGAATGGTTGTTACCTTCAGCTAGGCAGGGTGCACCTTGGGTGCTAGCCATGGTCTATTTCTTGGGGTTGCATTGCTATAGTTTATTTCTTAAGACTCATCAAACTGTATCCTAAAGATCTGTATACTTTTCTATGTGTATGTCACATGTCAATGAAAAGTTAACTGAAAACAAATGGAAGCAGTCTCAACAGCTGCACAGCCAGGCCTCAGACAAATAGGGTTGAGGTGCACCTTACCCCACTCTGCTTGGTACCTCATCATTTCTTCAGTATCAGTTCTCTGCACTCTTGGTTCCAAAGTTATGGGAACTCAGTTCCTCTTTGGCAGTGCTTCTACTTTGTCAGCTTCTTTGGCTGGTCCCAACTAACTCATTCTTCCTCTCCCCCTCTGTCTCTCTCTTCTTCACTCTGCCGTCCTTACCTGCCCCTCCCCATTTCTTCTCTGCTCTCCACCCTCTCTGTCTTCCAGCCGCACTCATTTCAGGGAACAAATATCATTGTCAGCAAGTCAACATGCAGAAGTGATGACTTAGAGCAGAACAGGCCACTCACTATCAAACCTGCAGATGGGTTGGAATGTTTATCAGCTGGCAGCTGGATGGGGGTGTACATAAAATTGAGCCCTATCTGTGAAGATGCTTTCTGGCTACCGGTTAAGAAGTAGGCTGTGGACATACCCAGTACATGGACACACCCAAATCACACTTCTGTTTAGTCCTCAACCCCAGCTGGATTTGAATCATTGGAAGCCATGAAACTACCCTTTTACCTCCCCACACTGTTTAGCACAATGCCAGATATATAGTGGTGGGTGCTCAGTAATTATTTATCTGAGAAGCCTGCAACAAAACACTTAATGGATAAATAGGTGACCTGGTATTCTGACTTGCTACTTCCTCACTCTCTTAATCTCATCCTGAAATGATGACTTGGATGTGAAATATCTGGATCTGTACCGTAAGCCTCCAAATTCCATAAGATTAGACAACTCCTTAGGGACACTGTTCTTTACATCAAAATTAGAGTGTGTTAGCTCTAATTAAAATAAGATACTATAGTTTTATCTCATTTCATCTGAGGTCAAAGAATGATGTCACTCTGTGATGGTACATTTTTAGGAGAGCCACTGAAGTCTTTTTGTGTGTCTAGTTACAGGAAGCTAATTCTGTTTACATATTCAATTGCAGATATAAATGAATGTACCATGGTGTCTGTCAGGACCAATGCTGTAATACGATTGGCAGTTATTACTGCCAGTGTCAAGCTGGCCAGAAGCTGGAGGAAGATGGCAGAGGATGTGAAGGTAATGGTTAGGACTGTCTGCTTCCTGATAAGGAAAGAGAGAACATCTATGTAATGCAGGAGAGGGGCTTGTCTTTGATCCAGAGCCAGTTGAAGTGCCTGTGCTGAATGTTGTCAAGAGCACAGATCTTCCTCTCGTGTCTAGATTACAAAATTGTAACCCTAAGAACACTTCAAGTAGCTTATTATGAGAAACATATGATTATATGCTGGTTTGGCTGTGTCATGTTCTGATTGTGGAATTTCAATCGTTCATTTAAATCCCTGGGTAAAATACATATTTGTGAAAGCATTTTGTTTAATTCTAAAGTGAAAATGGTGCTTATCATAAAATACTCATATGTTGTTACAATAGAAAGAGAGGGACATAAAACTAACCACAGAAACAGCATTCTTAGTGTACAGTTAACTTTTTTTTTCATGAACTTCCATTTTCTGACTCCTTTTAAAATTAATTCCTTCCTTCCTTCTTTTATTTATTAATTCATCATTTTGTTCATTTGATAATCATTGAGTTGCTGCTCTGTATCAGGCATTATTCCATGCTCTGAGGTTATAAAAATTAATGAGAAATAAATTCTGCCCTGAAGGAGCTCACTGATTAGAGGCAAAGATTGAAACATAAGCCAAAACTTTGCAGATCAGTGTTTTAAGGCATTGTAGAATGAGGTTAAGTGCGTTGGATTCAAAGAGACCCGGATTTGAGTCTCAGCTCTGTCACTTACAATTTATGTAACCTTGGGCATGTTATTTAATCTTGCTAAGACTCTTTCCTCAACTATAAAATTTAGGATAATGGTAGCTCCTAAAACCACAAAAGTTGCTGCGGGAATTAAATAAGATAATGCATCTAAAGCACTTAGCATAGTGGATGGCATATAGTAGGTATTCAAATGATAACTATGAAGTGTACTCTCATTGATGACCATGCTCTTTCCCATTTGCGGAATATAATTGGGACCACAGACCACTTCCTTGTCTTCTTCTCTAAAAGAGGAAGCACCCAAAATAAAATGATCCCTTGTGCCACGCCTTATAACTGTTCTTTCTGACTTTTCCCCCTATCTGTTCTTACCATTTAAATACTTGAACATTCTATGTATTCAGCCTTTTTCTTTTAGATCACATAGAAATGCATTTATTCTAACTATGTTTTAAGCACCATAAGCGTCTCTGGTTAGCACCTCTGGTTCCCATTGACCTTCCAAAATCACACTTACTTTTTCCCCTGACAATGTCTATTCCTAATGGGACATATCTGAATCAGTTGTTGGGATAAAACAAAACAAACAAAAGACATCCAACTGAAGGTGTCTGGTGCCGGGGCTGTGGGTTTGCTTGGGACTGCCAAGACTAGACAAGTTGTAGATGTGAGTAGGTTGGAGAATTTCTCAGATTCTCAGGAAGCGGTATAGCATCTTACCTTCTGGAAATGTTCTGGCAGGCAGCAACAGGAAGGGCTCCAAACGGACAACCAGATGTTCAAGGGTGACTGTACCTGGGCCTTTCTGAGACAGGCTTCATGCCAGGCAGGGTCCTCTGCCTATAAGGGTATAAACTTATAAAGGCAAGCCCTAAATTCACCCAGGTCCTTTTTCATTCAAGTGAGATCATCTTTGTTTCTGATGAGATTGTTTGGCAATGGTGTTTCCAGTATGGACTCAATATCGGAGAACCAGAGGAGTAAAGCATCCCATGGTGTCCAAATGAAAGGTAGAAAAATGGCCACTGAAGTTAGCATGATCTTCCTGATGATGCACAACGGGGTTGTGCCCTTCCTTGCCTGATAGGCAGTTTTGTTTCTTTTTGGCTGAGTATTACTTTTATCAACATGATTATTATCATAGATACATTTGAAGTGCCCAGCACAGCAATTAGCCAATTGTTGTTATTTTTATAACAACTATTAGGCTGATAAGACAGGGTAAACTTTATATCCACTAATTCATTTATATGCAATTATCTCATATTTTAATTGAAATTAGTCCCTCTTCATATAAATGTCAACATTTTAGAGAACTGATTTCCATGCTTTCATTTAACTGATGTTAATTCGTGTAAACTAAGAGTAGCATCAGTATTTGTGAGAATCGGGAGTTTGACACTGAATTAACATTGACTTCCTACTTAACAAGATGCAGAACTTGGGATGGTGGTTTGGGGTGGAGCAACTTGCCAATAAAGAACCACTTCTCTCCGTCTCATACTCCTCAGCATATTTTCTTTGTTATTTCTTTAAATGACCATTTGGTAGACATAGTGATGCTAGAGATTCATCTTGTTTGACTGTTGAACATGCAGTGATCTCAGATTTGCTTATATGCATAATTAAATAAAAATAATAGAGGTTGTTTTGAAATTAAATACATTCTAAAGCCACTACAAATGAACACTTCAATTCATGTGAGGGCACTGATGAGTCAGTCATATTTATTTACTGGATACTAACAATAAAGGTCAGTTGGTTTCAAAGACCATTGTGTTAAATACTGCAGACATAGAGTTAAACCATCATTTGAAAATACTTTTTCTTTGCATTAATATAAATTGGATTTAACTTATTTGAATTGCTTTTTAAAATACAGATCAAAATTTTAGTAGACATTTATTGCAGCATTAAAATACATCTAGAGTCTACCCTTCAGTGGAATTGAAACATTTATAAATGGCTTTGTGAGTTAATCTTATTCTTTAACCTTTTCTTTAAAGAGCCATAAAACTTGTGGAGAAGGCTTCTGATTAGCTCAGGTACATGAGTGTCCCCTTCTTTCAAGAATAGCACTGAGCATAAAGCATAGTTTCTAACTCACTCTGTAAATAGCTTATTATAATGTGTAAATTATAAGGGGAAATGCCTGCATACCACTGGACACTGTGAGAATATATATATATATATATATAGAGAGAGAGAGAGAGAGAGAGAGAGAAAGGACATAAAGCTTTTCTTCTTTAATTTGTTAATGTGGATTAAAATATTTATAGTTTTTCAAATATACAAACATCTTTGCATTTAGGGAAAAGTCTAACTGGATTTTGTAATTTTATTTGTTATTAAATCCAATTTGCTATAATTTTGTTTATGATATTTGCATCCATAACCATGAGTGACATAGGTCAATAATTTGTGTTTCTCATATGTGTTTTATGGCAGTGGTTCTCAGTTGGAGGAATTTTGTCCCCCAGAGACATTTGGTAATGTCTGAAGACACTGATTTTCACAACTGAGGGGAGGGAGTACGGTTGGCATCTATTGGGTTGAGGCCAGGATACTGCTAAATGTCTGCTTCTGTTACACTGATTTTACATATGTTGGACCTTCTCGTTGTCTCACATGCTGCTTTCACGTGCTATATTTTCTTTTCTCTCTTTACTGCATGTGCTCAAATAGTCTTATTGAGTTTCAAATATCAACAATTTAACTTTACATTTTTAGAAGTCTCATTTTTCTCAAATCAGTTAGTTCCTTTCCATTGTATGCTCATTATTATAATTATATCCTTTTCTTTTGATATTTCGCACACAGCTATTCTGTATTCTGTGTCTGATTCCAACATCTATGGTCCTTATGGGGGAGTCTAAATCTATTGTTTCTTATTTCTAGGCTGTAAGTTAGACTCTTTCCTTTCATGTTATATATGCTTCTAATATAAAACTTCTCACACAGCACTGTATTTATTTACACATTCATACTATCTCTAGGAGATTAGGAGTATGTCCTAGGTAAGGGCCATGTCTTTTCACTTTTTTATACCTATATCACAGGTGTTAGTACCTAGCAGGATTCCATAAATGCTTATTGAATGAATGAATGGATGAATGAATACATACCCATCCAAACATAAATGCACACAGACATACAGTCAGTACACATTTTATTCATTTCCTTATGTACAAATTTTAATCATGCTGGGTTTGTCATTTAAATTCTGACTTTTGGTTATCAGTAGGTCTGTGTAAATATTTGCTGATAACAGGTCTGTTTCATTTGAAAGGGCAAATCACATTTTTACTTCTAGAGAGCAAATCAAAGTCTTAGCTTAGTTTGAACTTTCTGAAGTTTCTCCATGTGGCTTGTCTAAATTATTGGTGCAGCAGCATAACTAGTGTGACTATTTGAGCATGGTAGTACCATGGAGTCGAAGAATTTTTCTAAATGAGATGGTAATTAACATTACTGTACATTTGAATAAGTGAACTGACAAAGATAATGAACATTGATTGGACATTTGGGATAGTCTTCCATTTGGAAGAAATAAATGAACATAAAGGTATATTGTTTAATGAATTGACTGTTAAAATATTTTAAAGTAGTTTGATAATATTTTTAGCCAAATTTTTCCTGAAACACATTAGAAATGATAATGTGAATAAACAATGTAATTCAGCAAACTGTTGTTATTATATATGGGATTTATCATATTTGACACATAAATGTATACAAAGATCTCTTTCTTTTTATCCATCCATCCATCCATCCATCCACCAAACTATGTGTCTGTCCCATACACTGTGGACCACGTTGAACAAAGAGCACACACTTTGGGTTTGAATATTGACTCTAACATTCTCTAACTCTGAGGCTTAGGGCAAGTTACTTAATGTCTATGGGCTGTCCCTTCTTCCATCTGTAAAACCAGAATGACAATATCTAACCTAATATAGATTGGGAGATTAAATGAGATGTTGTAGGAAAACAACTTCGTGGTGAGAAAACTCCTTTCCCCTACTTCATGACCACATAAAGAGGGGTATTATCAATCCTGACATCTCTCTGCCCCCTCACTCACTCTCTTCTTCCCAAGGGAGGAGTTAATTACCTCACTGTGGAGTTTTGGGAAATAAATTGTTTGTTTGGGGAAAGAAATTGTGGAGTTTGGCCCACCTCCCTATTTCCTCTTTAGGATCTACAAATGCCTACAGGAAATGCCCATACTGTCTGCTCTGCTCAGATGCATGTTTCACCAGGTCAGTACCCCACATGGGGAAGACTGAGGTTTCCCA